TCACAAATTTCGATAGTGGTAATTCAGCCTCTCTCCCAACAGTTGAGCTAGAAGACAAATATTTCACAGACTCCCTTGAATTGGGAGGAATCCTCAAAAACCTCCCAAACAAAAGATCTTTCAGTTTTGACAAAATCCCACATATTGCCATCAAACACATCCTCCCTGAACTAATCGATAAATTAACAATCATTTTCAATAATGCCCCTGACAATAAATATTTTCCCTCCTCTTGGAAACTAGCTGATTCATTCCATTGAAAAAAAAGGAAAAGACTAAAGACCCCTCAAATTATAGACGAATTTCGTTCCTACTCAATCTTAGTAAAGTTTTTGAAATCATAATTAATGGATCAATAATAAAATTCTGTGATAAAGAAAATTTAATGCCCGATCAACAAAATTCCGTTTTCGGCATAACCACTCAACTCTTCACGCAGCAACCAAGTTCTCATCAGACATTTGTTGGGCCCTAAAAAAAAACGAAAGTGTGGGGGCTTGCTTTATAGATTTAGAAAAGGCCTTCGATACTGTATGGCTCGATGGTCTCATACGGGACATTCCATGTCAACTCATCCACCCTGGATTTTTTTTATCTGGAAAAAATCATTTGATAGTTGCATTTTGAACTACTATATTTAGATGGAATTCGTGCCAAATTTCTTTCCCCTATCATTTTTTGTTCCTGAGATAATGATGACAAAACTTGGAATTTTCAAAAATTCATAATTTTTGAACGGCGCATCCGATTTGAGCGAATAAAAAAAGAAAATTTTTATTTTTGTTTGTATTTTGAGAAAAAAAACTCCAGAGCCGTGAATTAACGGCAACACTGATTTTTCAAGGGATTTTTACGTTTCTATTTTTTTTCGTCTCTACGGCCTTCCGACATTCGATCGGAATATTTTTTTTCTGATAGAGGACGTCCATATATGATGTAAAAAAATACGCCATGATGGAAGAGACGAGAATTGTGCCGGAAAAACATTTTTTTTCTGAAATTTTTGTGTTTTTTCGACTTCTAGGGAAGCTGCCTAGTTTTTACCAAGAAATTGATGTTCCAATCAATACTTTTGGTTAATCTATGATAGAAAAGAAATACACTACCATAGAAGAGAGAAACGGTGCGCCGGAGAAAATTTTTTTCTCTGTAATTTTTGCATGTTTTCAACATTTTTATAATATTCAACAATAGGGTAGGCGGGGGGTGTACCGCTCACCTAAGAAAAAGAGTTCATTTTTTCAACCTCCAGAACATATACGGGTCAATTAACTTTTGGGATAGGTTCTTTAAAGCCTTTTCTTCACAATTCCAAAAGTGAAAAATTTTCATTAACACTCAACATATCAAATTATGAACTTCAACTGATACCAACGATTGAGCGGTACTGCCTCACGATGTGGGTATTACCGCTCGGGGTGTTTGTAATACCACTCACTCGCTGTCAAACTCAGTAACTCAGTAACTCAGTAACTCAGTAACTCAGTAACTCAGTTACTTCTCACACGAGGTAGTTAACTAAAAAATGCCGATTGGACACTTTTTTATAAATTTATTCATATTAAACACGAATGAGGAACTCACTTATACATTTTTTTCAATTATAATATGAAAATACATTGGATTTTTTTAAAAAATGAAATAACACATATATCTCTGATAAGAATATTTTTCTTAATACGAATTGTAACGTGACATTTTCGTATGGGGGTTAAAAATGCCTATTACCTTCGCCCTTCTTCCCCTTCATCTAGTTAAATTCAAAATGCAAAAAGAATCTATGGGCGCCAGGTAATTTTTAGCTGGAATTACCAAACCGGAGGAGTCTACAAAACTAATTGTAACTAATTCAAAAGCCTCAAAAATCTACTCAAAAAGGGAGAAAACTAGATCTCTGGGGAAAAGTAACGGTCCTTGGTTCGCTCAGTGTGCTAGGTTGTGGAGAGAGGGGTGGATTTCAGGTGGAGACGGGTGTTGGGTGGTCAGGACTAAAAAAAAAAAAAGAAATCGACATCGTCCTTACGTGTTTCACTATTGAAACCAGAATTATAATTTTAGGATCTTGGGATTTAGGATGAACTAACGATACTCCTCGCCATAGAGGCGAGGGAGAAGGAAATAACCCACGTCGGAAATCGTCCGATTTCGACTGGGAAAAGACAGGAATTCTAATCCTGGACAACCACACTCGCTGAACCCCATAATCATCTCAAAAGATGATAGGGATAAACCGGAATAAAAAAACAAAAGACCGGATCAGAGATAATACCAAAAAAAAAAGCTAAATTCGGACCAAAAAGTATGAATAAAGGGGTGGTGATCGACCACTGCACGTGGCTGAGGGCCACGCGAGGGATACCGCCATGAAGGGGAGACGACGCCATTCGAAAATGGCTCGAAATTGGGGAGAAAAATACCAGAAAACTCACTGTTTTTCCGTTTTTGAGGGTCCTCTTCCCTTTTCGGACCATCTTGGATCCTTACAGCTTCTTTGAGGCACAATAATCCCTACAGACACAATTACGTCGTATGGACACCAAATATTCACACGTGACTAGGTGTTTGGGACGGTCAACGCGGAACTGATTTCGGAGGTCAGTGCTGCGATACACCGGGCCCGCGGGACTTCCGACCAACCACGCGGCGCTCTGATTGGTGGAGACGTTTTCTCCTCAGAGGTGTAAGCCTCGAGGGAGCCACCGAATTAATTCGGGGAGATCAAAGGCGTTATTATCAAAGAATCTAAATTAATATTTTCTAACATTTCAATTCAACAAAGCTCAGGTAATAATTAATTTAAACGAACTGAACGGGGTTAAAAGACCAATACTCATAACTAATCTCTCCAATTTTCCAAAAACTAAAGCAACCTGGCAATTCACCGGATACAAGGGTTGCACTTGTTCCACGTGACCTTCCACCGAAAAACTAAAACGTAACCAATTAATCCCCATAAAATCCATTGTAATTTGGAGCGTCGGCATTTTAGCCGAACCTGATCGATTTCACGTAAGATTAACAATAGAGTGGACCCCATAAAGAAACCGGATGACTCGATATGTTGGTCCTTCTTCGCGATGACTTTACGGACCCTCAAAAATGCGTAATTAACAGATCTTGCCAAAAAAAATTATATTCTACACCCAATCCCAAAATTCCAAAACTCTAAAAATTCACCACGCTATAGCGGAACTCTAAACCCAAAATTCTCCATCGGAATGGGAAAACTAAACTAAACATCCTCCATCGAAACGGGAAAAACTAAGCTCAAAATCCTCCATCGAAATGGGAAAACTTAACTCAAAATCCTCCATCGAAATGGGAAGTTCTAGACTCAACTCCATTCAAAATGGGTCGACTTCAACTCAAAAACTCCACCGGAGTGGAAAACCTTTAAAAGTGCAACAATCTCCACCAGAGTGGGAAATAGTAATCTCTCGCTCTCTCTCACCCTAATTATTTATCCACGGATTGGCTTTTCCTGTCGTGAGGGAAGTTGTTTTCAGGTCTCGGTGGTGTTCCCAACGGACATCCCCACATGTTCGTTACAGAATCTCAGATATTTTCTTTTGATTTATACTTTCTTTAGAACATAATAATAAGTATATGAAAATACGGAAGCCACTAAATTTCAGGTAATTTATGACATAAATCACAGACGAATGATTCGGCAGTTGTTGTATCAATACATGCTGCATGGGACCACTTGACACACTCTCGACATCGGTACCTGATCTCGTCCTTTCTAAATTCTTGACAAACCTCACAGACCGAACCTCTATTGCTTGGCTCTTCGTGGGCTGCGTTTATGGGGAAACATTCAGAATTAGAATATGAATTCCATGTAATTCAGAGGTGAATGATAACGTCGTTCTTACCGTTTGATTTGTCAGCCATCAACACCTTTCTAACTCTTTTCTTCTTCTTAGTCTCTGTAGAATCTTCTTTCTCCTTCTTGACTCATAGAACCTTCTTTTTATTTCTCTCAGACTTTTCTTCTTTCTCTTCTCGTTTACGTTTCTTAATCTCAAAGACTTCCTTGAGTGGCGAACTCGTCAAAATTTTTGAGTGTTGCTTTTTGGGTCCTTTTTTAACTTTGGAACTCTCAACGACAGTTGTTTTTATCTCTTTCTCTACCCCTGAGGTTGGAGATGCCAAGTTGAGGATGATGACCTGAGTAGGCGACCTGAGTAGATGATGACCTGGTGTAGTAAAAATTTGTTCCAGAGTTGCAGCTGCATCTGATGGGTCTGATTTTGGTGTCATTGATGATCGGGGTAGCGATGGAGATGGGATCGAGGTCATAGATGCTCGTCCTGACATTGGGGATCCATTTGAGGAGGTCGATGGCAGAGATTATTGTCTCAGCGTTAGAAATAAATTTGATGGGGTTGGTGGCATTCCTGAGTTTGGAGCTCCATGTGGGAGTTGTCTGTGTGTCTTTATGGGCAATCTGGAACGAGTAAATCTACTGCGAGGTGTATCTCCAGTGGACGTTGGAACTGGACCTGGAGAACCATTAGTTATGTTCGGAGAACCTAGTCTGTAGCATCCTTTTCATGAACGTTAGGGTTGATAGAGTTATCAGGATCTCCCATAGCTTTTGGACCCAGACCTGACTGAACTTGAAGAGTTCCCAATGAGATTGATTGTGCTACAACGTTACCAGCATCAGAAGTGTTCAGATTAACATCAGGAGGGGTGTTAGTAGGTGTTCTGACAGTCACCACTTCAGTCTGCTCAAGTCCAGATCTTTCTCCATGAATAATCTCACTTGTTGATGGTTGACTCTGCTGTCCTTCACTCAGGGATATATCTTCTGCCGAAAATAGGAAATCCAACACCCAGAATGCGTTGCCATCTGCGATCATAACAGGGATATCTAGCTCCAATAAATTACCATTTGGACTACTCAGTGGTACCCCCTGGCTCTCTGACAGTGCTTTCAATACTTCAGCAGGCTTGAAATCCTCAGAAGAAAAGATATTTCTGTTCATTGGCTATATATCCGTAGCTTCAAATCCTGAAATAGCATTTTGCATGGAGGCCACATTAACATACGCCTTATTGAAAATCGCAGCCAGCTCATAAAATGTGACTTTTTTGCCCACTGAATTTTTCAAGGTCTCACTAGTGTGCTTCTTCAACGCACCCTCGAGTAGACCGAAAAAGCTAACGTCGAGTGGCTGAGTGCGATGAGATGTATAAGGTGGCAGTGACAGCAAAAAAATACCATTGTCTCGACAGTAGTCAAACGCAGCAAGAGAGCCATGGCTGTCATGATTGTCGAGTGTGACGAGCACTGGATCTTCTTTGGAACAATGTTTGTGAGAGACAAAATGCTCTAACCAGGTGAGAAATAAGGCTGCATTGGTCCAACCATTGGATGAACAATGGTAGACTGCACCAGTAGATCCACCATTCTGCAAACTTGGGGCCATACGTTGACGAGGGAAAATGAACATTGGGAGGATGTACTCTCCAGAAGCACTAGCAGCACATACGACTGTCACGTTCTTTCCTCGTTCTCCACTCGCTAACACACCCACTCTCTTCTGTCCTTTTTCTGTAATGATCTTGACTGGGTCAGGCACAACATTAATCCCTGTTTCGTCCATATTGAATATTCTCGATGGAAGAAAGCTGTGTTTGTTCATAAGTGTTTCCAAATTATCAAAAAATATGGAAACTTCTCCCTCTGAAAACGCGGTGACACGGTTGATGCTGGTATTCCCTGGCTTTCGCACCGATAGAGTTGGATTTCTCTTCATAAATTCTTCGAACTAAGCACGCCCAGCTCTTTTGATTACACGGTTGAAGTTGTGTGGGATATCGTGCCTTTCTGCAAAGTAATAGGCAGTGGACCATGGATGGTCCACTTGTGATTCCATTTTTTATCCCGTCTCTCAGTGTACTGAATGGAATACCGTACATCTCTGAAGCTGTATGAAGCGACGTTCCATCATTTTCAACAGCATGTATAGCTTTTTTTAGATTTTCTTCACTCCATTTCCCCTTTATATTAGGCCCCTTCGGTGTTTTATCCCGTGGCATTCTATAAAAAAAAAAAATATCGATAATTTTTGAGCAACTGATGGGTCCATCTAACCTCTCAACGAATTCGTCGTTTTTATTAATAACATTATACTGATTGGATCGTCCTATTCTCGATCCTCATTCTTTCATCATTTTCCCATATTTATTTTATTACGAGCAATAATGAATGCTAAACTTACTTGATCGTTCGCCGGCCAGTAACTCGTCCATGCGTCCCAGCTGTCACTCGGTGAGCGGTACAACCCACAGAGTGAGTGGTATTAGGAACCCTCCCCGAGCGGAATTACCCGCGAATGCCGGGTGTCAAAAAAACATTAATAATTAATTTACCAGGGTCTTTTTCACCATCAACTATGTTCCAGTCGATGGATAAATGTATTATCAGCTGATATTTCACAACTTTTTATTTTTTTATGTATCTGAAGAGGTGAAAAAAATTCTGGAGTCAAATTCTTTCATCGATTACAGTGAAAGTCAATGGTATAATTTTTTATCAACTTTCAACGATAACAATTCAGAAACTTTGATCGAAATTAGATGTTAGGTGTAAATATATCGATTTGAAAAAAAAAAAAAAAATTTAAATAAGTTATGAGAAAAATAGGTGAGCGGAGATGCCCGCTGAGCGGTATAGCCCCCGCCTACCCTAACAATCACTCTAGAATAACTTTTTTCAATTGTTCGAAGGGTCACGCAATGGGCAGTATCAGAAATGATCTTTTCAGCGCTATCAAGTAGAAAAAAATTGGAAAATTGGATTGAAAATGACTCTTTCGGTGACAATACACCTATAACATAAGACAGGAATCCTCAACGTTGATTCCTCTGAGTTTTCTTCGGAAAAACCTCCTCATTGGCTGAGGCAGAATAGCGTGTTATCACCAATTGACCCCCTAGTCGTGGAATGAAACAATGATTTTTCTGAATAGCAGGAGTTCCTTTAGCTTTATCGAATCTATGTTTCAATTCTGCTTTAATCTTATCGTGCTCGTCTTTGGTGAAGAAATAAACGCCAATCCCAGTGAAATGATTCTTAGCCCATTAAAACACAGCATTTGGTGTGAGCATTGGTTCACCATCAACTGTTTGCAAGCTTTTGCGTCTAGCTTCTCTTTTCACAACTGCTCCAACTCCATCGCATGCCCCTTTACCGTGCGTGGTTGTGTGAAAATGAGCCTCNTTAATAACATTATACTGATTGGATCGTCCTATTCTCGATCCTCATTCTTTCATCATTTTCCCATATTTATTTTATTACGAGCAATAATGAATGCTAAACTTACTTGATCGTTCGCCGGCCAGTAACTCGTCCATGCGTCCCAGCTGTCACTCGGTGAGCGGTACAACCCACAGAGTGAGTGGTATTAGGAACACTCCCCGAGCGGAATTACCCGCGAATGCCGGGTGTCAAAAAAACATTAATAATTAATTTACCAGGGTCTTTTTCACCATCAACTATGTTCCAGTCGATGGATAAATGTATTATCAGCTGATATTTCACAACTTTTTATTTTTTTATGTATCTGAAGAGGTGAAAAAAATTCTGGAGTCAAATTCTTTCATCGATTACAGTGAAAGTCAATGGTATAATTTTTTATCAACTTTCAACGATAACAATTCAGAAACTTTGATCGAAATTAGATGTTAGGTGTAAATATATCGATTTGAAAAAAAAAAAAAAAATTTAAATAAGTTATGAGAAAAATAGGTGAGCGGAGATGCCCGCTGAGCGGTATAGCCCCCGCCTACCCTAACAATCACTCTAGAATAACTTTTTTCAATTGTTCGAAGGGTCACGCAATGGGCAGTATCAGAAATGATCTTTTCAGCGCTATCAAGTAGAAAAAAATTGGAAAATTGGATTGAAAATGACTCTTTCGGTGACAATACACCTATAACATAAGACAGGAATCCTCAACGTTGATTCCTCTGAGTTTTCTTCGGAAAAACCTCCTCATTGGCTGAGGCAGAATAGCGTGTTATCACCAATTGACCCCCTAGTCGTGGAATGAAACAATGATTTTTCTGAATAGCAGGAGTTCCTTTAGCTTTATCGAATCTATGTTTCAATTCTGCTTTAATCTTATCGTGCTCGTCTTTGGTGAAGAAATAAACGCCAATCCCAGTGAAATGATTCTTAGCCCATTAAAACACAGCATTTGGTGTGAGCATTGGTTCACCATCAACTGTTTGCAAGCTTTTGCGTCTAGCTTCTCTTTTCACAACTGCTCCAACTCCATCGCATGCCCCTTTACCGTGCGTGGTTGTGTGAAAATGAGCCTCTGCGTCGATGCCGAAATCAGCCTTATGATTCAAGAGATTAGCCATTTGGTAACGATTTTTGTAATGCTGAGCAGCGCCGTCTGTTACATAAATCATTTTTCGAACATCACCACAATTTTTCTTTACATGCTCGATCAGAACTTTCTGTATGAAATAAACAGCAGCAGTATCGTGGAGTAGACTGTCTGATAAGATAACTAAACTCTGATGTTGGATATCATCATCTTCACGGTAGTAATACACCACCAGGTGGACTGTACATTAATCATTATTGTAATGAAAAGATTGAGCAGCATCTTGAGCAACAAAACAATAATTCTCAGCAAAATCACAGTGGACAAGCACTTCTCCTTTATCCAAATTTTCTCTTCGTTGCTTCACAAAAATTGATTGCTCTAGAGCGATGAAGTGGTGGGGTTTTAGGACTTTCAAGCGTTCAGCAAGTACATCAACGAATTCGTTCACCGGAAGTATCTGTGTTTGCAAAGTGCACCTGTCAGTACTTTGCCACACTCGGAACTCGATATTTTCAATCACAGCTTTGGAGAGGAGTTGTTTTAGCTCACATGACACCTGGCCCAGTCCGGAGCAATTCTTACATTCATCCAAATGACAGGCCGGCGTGGGATTTTGACACATAATTCTGCTAAGACAATCTTTGTAATCTGTCATTGGGCATGGTGAATCCTTCGTTAGAACTTGGAGATTCATAGCATCTAACATCAGTTTACAATTTTGGTGGTACGTGCAAACACATACCATGCTCAGGTCTTAATTCTGGGAACTTACTGAAACCAACTGGAGCCTCTGAGTGAGTGGCTTTGTACTCTCGATGAAGATCTTTCAAATTTTCGAGTACCATTTGCTTCTGTTCTACTCTTTTCTCTCCATTAATTTTAAGCGATACCTTACCTTTCATCCCGGGCATAACCCGACTATTTTCCAGATAAAAACTTCGCATCTTTTGAACAGTGTCGGCTGGTAATGGATGACCAGTCCTTGCAGTTGGTGAAACAGACTCCCTTCAATTCTCTCAACTTTCTTGCCTTCTCCGCCATGTATCTCGAAACACCAAATTCGAGCGCTATTTTTCGGGCATTCCATGATCGAGGAAGAATGGTTAGAATTTGCAGACGCTCACCGTACGAGTCCAAATCGTTGAACTTTTCCTTCAAATCATTCAACATTTTATCTAATTCCAGTTCTCTGGGAGAACGATACCGTTTCGTTGGTGGTGGATCATCGTCATTGTGGTCACTATTTGAATCCTCATCCATACTTAAATCGAAGAATCCACCTGAATCATGTGATCCATCGTGACTTGAAATGCTTATATCATCAAGATGAAAAGATCGGCCTGATCTCAATGAACAGTCAATGGTATGCGGGGTGGAATCATCAAATTCTGCTTCAGTCTTTGATACTTCTGCGGAAGAGATATCTTCTTGAAGATGTTGATTCTTCAGAATGCAAGTAGGAGGAAACAATGGGACGACATAGATTGGCACTTTCATTCGGCATTTGCCACAAATTTTTGCAGTCGATGGTAGGAAGGGTAACTTCAAGGGTATTTTCCGTGAAGTCGGACGTAAATTGGTTCCATAGTGGCCTTTTTCACCTGGGCCTCGCATCGGATCTGCACATCTATCACTATGGGGCATCCTACTGAATACAAATAAATTGATTCCACAAATCGCCTGGAAATATCTCTATCATGAATGTCAGAAATTTCTTACCTCAAATCAGAAATGAAGATGAGAAAACGGGGATGAGTATACACAATTGTGGCTTATTAATTTAGCTTAATGATCACATTTTACTGATAAATGATGCATTTAATTAACACAGTCAACAATAAGTACGGTAATGAAACGTTAATGAAGCATTTGAGACATCTCTCACCACTAATAGCTTACAGTCTGATGGCGTTAAATCGATCGATAGATTGATTTTTTTATCCTTCTTTTGTTTCAAGTCTGAGTGATATAATCTTCTCATGCCACTGACTGGAATTTGAACTCAATTTCTCTAATACGTAAATTCATTGCCTGATCCACTGTCGACTACATTATGATTAGAATTAGAATTAGATTTCCTCACTCTGATGTTACGTTATTTTTTATTTCATATCTATTGTTTCGTATCGTAGATATAATGCCATTGGAACAATAATTTTCAAACCATTTTTCCAATTTTTTTCTACTTGATAGTACTGAAAAGATAATTTCTGATACTGCCCATTGCGTGACCCTTCGAAAAATTGAAAAATTGTTATTGT